CAACAGTGTTCGCTTCATTAAACAAGAAGAGAAAAGAAAACCTGAATTCACCATTGTGAGTTTTTTTTTTGTCCTGTCTAACTCAGTACCTCTCAACTTCAAGATGCATGGACTACAACTCCCAGAATTCCTAGAGCTGGCTGGGACACTGAAAAGGGATTTGCATTTTGTACACCAATAATCTAAAATAAACATGATTTTGGAGGGGGGGAACTTGTACGGTTTAAAATACCAACAAACCACAACTATAATTTAAAACCAAATGAACCAATATTTATTTATTTATTTATTTATCCTGTTATAATAAATAGAGATCTCCATGGAATTCTTTGCTAATAATTTCAGAAATCCTTGAGGCACCTCAGTGTCAATTTTTGGCAATCTGAATATACTAACAATTGAAACTTACGGTAATAACCGTTGCAATGTTTTAATGGTGTCTATCCAGTAATTTTAGGCCCAGGAGCCAAATCACATGTAAAAACCTCTATGCAATGTTACTTATTCACACAGTTCTCCAAGGCTAGCAAAGAAAAAAAACCAAAATATCGAGATATTAGGCTATCTGAACCCTTGTGGAAACAGGCAACTCCAGAAATTGATTAAAGAAATAACAATCTTCCAAACAAGGATGGGAAAAACTTCCAGAACCTAAGAAATCCTAACAATGGCATTTCTTTTTGCATTAGATATTTATCGCTGATGTCCTACAATTTACCCACAGATATCTTACTAAAAACGAAGCCCTCGGAGCGGAAAACGGCGATGCTGGGAAAGGCTCCAATCCCTCTGCCTTTCAAAGAAGAAAAGCCTCGGCAAAGAGCGGCCTGCCTTTTGCAAAGCAGCGAAAATAAAAGTTAAAACAAGAAAAATACAAAGGATGAATATCCTCTTTGGTAGGAAAACGCGGCCAACGAAGATTTTCACCGCTCGGCCGATTCCTGAATTCGGCCCCATCAGAGACGGCGGGGCGTCCTTCCATCCTCCGAGCCCCCCGCCCCAAAAAAGCCTCTCTTTTTTTTTAAAGGAAACTTTTCCTTGCTAACCGCGGAATTGGCCCCTCAGAGCAACATTCGGCCGCCGTTCAACGGGGCAGCTCTCCAGAAGGCCCAGCCACGCCACGCCTCGGCCTTTCCCTTTTTCCCCGGCCGCTTTCTGACATTCCCAAGCCCGGGCCCCCTTCGCCCGACTCCCCAGGCCCATCATCCACGGCCGAAAGACCCAGGCCCGCCCAGCTTCACCCACTCAGAGCCCGGATCCTTCCAAAGGGGCCCCGGGACCAAGCTTGGCGGAGGGTCTCCGAGCCCCCCAGGGAGATCCCAGATTGGAAGGGGAGGGGATCCGGGCGGGGGTCTCCATCTCGGGGGGATCCACCCAAGCTCGGCTGAGGGCTTTTTCCCCCTCCACGCCCAACCGAGGGAAGGGAAGGGAAGGGAGGCCTGCAGGGCGCCCTTCCCGCGGAAAGACCCCCCTCTTCCCAGGCCGCCCCCCACCCTCCTGGGCCTCCGCTGGCGGGCGAGGCCGGCCGTCCCTGGCTGCCAGCCCGGGCGGAGGCGGCGGCGGCGGCGCGGGCCCTGCCCTTCCCCGGGGAAAGAGGCCCCGCGGCCTCCCCAGGAAGCGCGGGCGGAGCGGCGGGGCCCGCGGCGAGGAGAAGCCCCCTCCCCTCCCCCGTCCCGCCTGCGCCCCTTCCCCGGCCGGCACAAAGAGGCAGCGGCGGCGGCCGCCTTGCAACAATGTAGCCGAGAGGCTTGCCACAGTGTCTCCGGCGGGGGCTGCTTACCCAGCGGCAAGGCCTTGTTGAGCAAGTGGGAGCTGCCCATTGAAGCGCGGGGCAGGGCGGGCAGGGCTCCGGCGGGCTGCTGGGCGCGAGGAGGCGAAGCAGATGGCGGCCCCGACGGTCCCCCCCGCCGCCCGCCCCGACGCTGCGCCCAGCCAGGCAGCAGGGAGGGGGAGGAGGAGGAGGAGGAGGGAGGGGCAGCCCAGCCCCGGGACTGCCAGCCCAGCCTCCCCCCACCCTCCCCTCTCAATCTCCCGGTTGCTGCCCAGCCCAGGCCCGGAAAGGCAGGCGGGCGGGCGGGCGAGGAAGGAAGACCGAAGCGGGAGCCGCGTCTCTTACCCGAGGGAGCCGCCGGCCTGGCGAAGGCGCTGAGCCCGGATTGCTGCTGCTGCTGCTTCTCTTCCTCCGGCGCGGCGCCGCCGCTGCTCAAACTCGGCCGCCCCTTCCGTCCTCCGCTGGCCGGCCGCGATGGGCCGGAGGTGGCCGGGCGGGGGGTGGCGGCCGCTCGGGCCGGCCAGCCGGGGTAGATCTTCCTGACGGCGGACGGTCTCAGGTTGAGGTCTGCGAAGACGGAGGGGGGTGTCAGAGGGAAGGGAGGCGCCCAGGAGCCGTGGGGATTGAAGGGAAGAAAGAAAAGTTGGGAAGAGACTTGGAGATGTGGGACAGTCACCGGGAGACGGGAGTTCTAGTTCCGCCTCAGACCGGACCAACGGCTGGGTGACCTTGAGCCAGTCCCAGGAGGCTGGGAGTTCTAGCCCTGCCTTAGATCTGAAAGCTGCCTATCTTTGGCACAATCCCCAGGAGAAAGTGAGTTCTAGGCCCACCTTGGCCCAAACATCAGAGATGGGGAGTTCTAGTCCCGTCTTAGCCCTGAATCCCAGCCGGGTGACTTTGGGCCAATCACCTTGAGCTATGCCGGCTGGGGAATTCTGGGAATTGAAGTCCCCGCATCTTAATGCTGCTAAAGTTGAGATTTAAGGGACAGCATCTTTCCTTGCTTGACTTAATGTACTTTATTAAAGGTAAGCACAGATTTTGCCATTTGCCACGATTATCTTACACGGATGACATGGTTGACTGGCTGGGAAGTAACATGTATGGGGTCCAATTCATAATTGGGTAATATTTTTTTTCTTGCATGCAGTCTGCATTTTTTTATTATTAATCCATGATCCCTTGATTGCAACAGGAATCGACCAATCGGCTTGTCCCCCCAGCCTGATGTTGTGGGCTGAGAGGGGCTGACTGAGTCAAAGTCACCCAGCTGGGTTTTATGTCTGGGACAGAACTAGAACTCACAGTTCCCTAGTTTCCAGCCTGGTACCTTAATTACCAGAGCAAACTGGCTCTGGAATCACCCCAAGCTGGACTGAAGAATTGGAAAGCATCTGGAAGGAAGGCCCTTGGTTAGCAATTTGGAAAAAAAACCCACACCCCAAAAACCCTGGGTGCAAGGTGAAAATTACATCCATGAAATCACTAAAAGCCCAGTTCAACCTTGAAAAGACTTCATTTTTGTCTTTTAAAAAAAGTTAAAGAACTGGGACTTTCTTAGTTAAACTTTTTTTTTTCTTTTTTAAATCAATTTGCCGAACTGGAGAATTTTAGGGGTAGAAAGAAAAAAAAAAGTAACCGATAGAGGAATCCTCAGTTTTAGAAAAGGACATTGATTTCTTCCTGCTGAGGGGAAAAAAATAATATCAGATGGAAGAAGGAAGCTAAAGGCTACAGCCCTTCCTCCTCCTGGATCATTTGCAAGGAAATTAATCGGAAGGTTTTAGCCGATTAAGGAATAGCAGATGGTCCAGAGGTGGCTGGCCCAAAATGCCGGAGAAAGATTATTCAACTGCACAGGTGGGGGGGGCGGGGAGGTGTTGCAGAGACCTGCTTTGCAGATCAAAACTCTCATCTCTTTTCCTTCCAGGAGCCCAGCCTTGAAAAGCAGAGACTTTCTGCCCTCCGCTAAGCTCCTGCAAAGATTCTCCCTGGTTGCAAATCCCCATCAACACCGGTGCAGGGAAATGGTTTGAAAGGGTCTCGGGGGTTAGACTAGAAGGCCTCCAGGGTCCCTGCCAGCTCTGATGGATGGATGGAGAATGAAAGCAGCCCGTGCCTTCTTAAGAGGAGGGGGAGCGGGAAGCGAGAGAGATTTCACTTCAAAACTCTCCATGCAAACTTGAAAGAGATGCACGTCGATCCTCGGCCTCTTTTCTTCCTTGTTCCTCCTTCCCCCCTTTTTTTGAAGCCTGGGGTGGGGGGGGGGGAAGCCGGGGCCTCCCCGAAAGCCTCCTCCAAACTCCTCCGCTCTCCTTGACTGTGATGCTCTCCCGTCCGGGAGAAACGCTCCGGAGGGAGACGTCAAACCAAGTATTGCGCGCAGGCGGCTGCCCGGCCGGGTCAGCTGACACGCATAATGCAGTACACAGAGCGAGCGAGGCGGCCGTACGTGGGGAAGGGGGCGGGGGGGGGGCGCCCTCAAGTGGCGTCATGGCCGTGCACTTCACGGGCTGCTGCCTCACCTGCCTGCAGCTGCAGCCATGGGTTGCGCAGCCAAGACATGCCCGGCCGCCGCCACCGCCACCGCCAGAGCAAAGCAGGCCGGCTCCTTCCAAGAACGTGAGGACGCGCTTCTTACTCTCCTCCCTTATCCAGCCGTTGGCAACTGCACGGGAAGAAGGGGAAGGGGAAGAAGAGGAAGGGGAAGAGAAGGAAGAAGAGAAGGAAGAGAAAGGAGAAGGGAAGAGGAAGAAGAAGGAAGAAAAAGTGGAGGAAGGGAAAAGAGGAAGAAGGGGGAGGAACAGGAAGGAGGGGAAGAGGAGGAAGAAGAAGGAAGAAGGAGGAAGGGAAGAGGAGGAAGAGGAAGAAGGACAAGGGGAAGAGAAGGAAGAGAAAGGAGAAGGAAGAGGAAGAAGAAAGGGAAAAGGAAGAAGAAGAGGGAGAAGGTGAAGAAGGAAGAAGAGGGTGAAGAAGGAAGAAGAGGAAGAAGAAGGAAGGAAAAGTGGAGGAAGGGAGAAGAGGAAGAAGAAGGGGAGGAACAGGAAGAAGGAGGGGAAGAGGAGGAAGAAGGAGAAGGGGAAGAGAAGGAGAGAAAGGAGAAGGGGAAGAGGAAGAAGAAGGGAAAGGAAGAAGAAGAGGGAGAAGGGGAAGAAGGAAGAAGAGGAAGAAGGAAGGAAAAGTGGAGGAAGGAGAAGAGGAAGAAGAAGGGGGAGGAACAGGAGAAGGAGGGGAAGAGGAGGAAGAAGGAGAAGGGGAAGAGAAGGAAGAAGAGAAGGAAGAGAAAGGAGAAGGGGAAGAAGGGGAAAGGGAAGAAGAAGAAGAAGAGGGAGAAGGGGAAGAAGGGAGAAGAGGAAGAAGAAGAAGATCATCAGTTTTTGCAACTTGGCCGTCATAAATCTGACCCGGTGGGGGCTCCCCTCGCCTCCCCCCTCCCTCCTTGCAATTCAGTTGAGACCTTTGAGGTTGTTTGCCTGCACAAATGCACGGCCCCTCCCCCAACTAACAAACCAACCCCGTGGCCCACCGACCAAAACAGGGTTCCCCCATTTCCCCCCCCCCCCCCCCCCCGATAGCCGCCCAACTTCCAGCGGCCGATGGCTGAGGGTAAGGAGGTGGCATCAAATCCTACATGGTTTTCCTCCAGCAGTTGGAATACAACAATCGCAGCAGCCCTAACAACCCTAGGACGGATTTGGGGACAGCCTTAAAAAAAAGAAAATAAAAATACACTTCGGAGCCCTTTCAGAAAGCTGGCTGGGAATGGGGGACTCCGTGGGGTTGCAGAGGAGAACACCGAGTGGCATTGAATGGCATGAAGGGGATTTCAGAGAGGGGCAAAGGTCATTGGGCCCCACTGAAACCATCCGTAGCCCCAAAGGCTTACAGGGGCCCTGATGCGAGTTCTGTCTAAAAGCTTAGCTATTCCAGGGAACCAGGGTTATAGTCAACTCCACTTCTCTTATTCCTTTCTCTGTAAATAGAACCACCAGGATTCTCCAGCTTGAGCAGAGGGTTGGACTAGAAGACCTCGGAGGTCCCTTCCAACTCTCTTATTCTTAAAGAGAGGACCAACCTAAAACTAAGGAGAGATTTCCTGACGGAAATATTAATCGGCGGAACGGCTTGTCTCCAAAACTTGTGGGTGCTCCCATCACTGGAGCTTTTTAAGAAGAGATTGGACAACCCTTTGTCCAGAATGGCACATGGTCTCCTGTTTGAGCAGGGGCTGGACTAGAAGACCTTCAAAGTCCCTTTCAACCAGAGGTGGGTTTCAGCAGGTTCTGACCAGTTCTGGAGAACCGGTAGCGGAAATTTTGAGTAGTTCAGAGAACCGGTAGTAAAAATTCTGACTGGCCCCGCCCCCATCTATTCTCTGCCTCCCAAATGTCCCAGCTGATCGGGAGGGAATGGGGATTTTACAGTAACCTTCCCCTGGAATGGGGTGGGAATGGGGATTTTGCAGTATCCTTCCCCTGCCACGCCCACCAAGCCACGCCCACAGAACCGGTAGTAAAAAAAATTTTCAAACCCACCACTGCTTTCAACCCTGTCCTTCTTCTCTTCCATCCCCCAGATGGGATAAGCATTTGAAGAAGGTAAACAGGCTTTGCCCTCAGAGAAACAGGGTAAGTAAGAAACTGGCCATTTGAATCAGGCAATTGCAAAACACGCAGTCAAATTCAATAGCCTTCATGTAAGTCACTTGTAACTTTGAACAATTGTTAAATGAACTATTGTAAGTCAAGGATTACCACAGCAACATTCTTCCCAGATTCAACGGGAGTCCGGCACTATTTATTTAATTTGTATCCTGCTTTTATTATTTTTTTAAAAAAACTCAAGGAAGCAAACCTATTTTAATGCTTTTTTCTCCTCCTATTTTCCCGCAAACAACCACCCTGTGAGGGGACAGAAGAAAAATTGATAAAGAAAATGTACAGCTACTTATTAGGCATTAAATTGGAAGAAGAACAAGTGAAGGAGGCAATGATAGTATGGGCAAAAAACGTTGGTTATATAATAGAGTTAGATAAATGGCAGAAACTGGGATAGGAACTATTAATTAACAATGTCAACTGCATACAAATAAAATTTGTGTAAGATGTTTTATAGATGGCATTTTGCGCCAGCAAGGTTGGCAAAGATGTTTAAAGATAAGTCGGCTAAATGCTGGAAGTGCCACAAGACACCTGGATCATATTATCATATGTGGTGGAAATGCTCAAAAGCAAAAAAAAATATTGGACAAAAATACATACGTGGCTGGGAAAAATAATAAAGCAGCATATTGATTTAAAGCCAGAAATGTTCTTGTTGGGGATTTTACCCGAAAAATATAGTAAGGGGAATGCATATTTAATTAGCCATATATTAACTGCAGCTAAAATTGTATTTGCACAAAACTGGAAAAGTGAAGAGATCCCCACAGATGAGAATGTGATCAGGAAAATATTAGAATGTGCAGAAATGAATAGACTAACTCTAGCAATTAAGGAGAAAGAACAAACTGAATATTATATGACATGGGACTTATTTTATCAATGGTTAGATAACAAAAATGGAAGTTAGAAACAGAAACAAAAGAAAAAGATTAGTGAAATAAAGGAGATATGTTAAGAGAGAGAAGCAAATATGATTATTATATTTAATATTTTAATATTATAGAATTAATGTTAATGTCATGAATATTGTTGTAAATCTTGATTATCATTTTACAAAGATATTTGTACCCAGACGACACACTGTTTAATTGAAGATGGGATTATTATATTAAAAAATAAAAATATATTTTAAAAACCCAACTCTGTGAGGTGGGTTGGCCTGAGAGAGTTATCCAGCTGGCTTTTTTATGCCTGAGGCGGGACTGGAACTCACTCTTTCCTGGTGATTGGCCCAAAGTCACCCAGCTGGCTTTTATGGCTAAGGCGGGACTTGAACTCATGGCCTCCTGCTTTTTAGACTGGTGCCTAAAGCAGGAGACCAAACTGGCTTTTTATGCATTTACTATGCAACTGTAATTATTATTAAATAAGTTACTTACAACCGAGAAATACTAGCAATTCATTATAAAAAACAGTTTTTCATGCAAATGGCAAAAATTAAAATATATTTAACATGGCCAAAATACAGGAAGACCCCCAAATAGCACAAGGTTTCAGTCAGGAAGTCCAGCCTCTCCTCTTCCTGAAAACAAATGATGGTGAACAGCCCCACCACGGATTCTCAGAGGCCCCCCCACCACAAACAGAACTGACATCTCTTCTAGCTTCTGGCCATGATTTCTCTCTCTGACTACATTTGTAGCCCTGGAGTTGTATTCATTATTCTGCCTGTTAGAAGGTGCATCTCTATCCCTTACTATTCCCCTTCTCATCTTTTCTACAACCTTCTCCTATTGGTATCTTATGATTAGATAACTTTGTTGTTTGTAGGTACACTGAGAGCTTCCGGAGACAAATTCCTTGTGTGTCCAGTCACATTTGGCCAATAAAGAATCCTACTCTACTCATTCTAATTCTGTTCTGTTCTGTTCTGTTCTGTTCTGTTCTGTTCTGTTCTGTTTTCTATTCTATTCTATTCTATTCTATTCTATTCTATTCTATTCTATTCTACTCTACTCTACTCTACTCTACTCTACTCATTCTAATTTCTCCTATTCTATTCTATTCTACTCTACTCTACTCTACTACCTACTCTACTCTACTCATTCTAATTTTCTTCTATTCTATTCTATTCTATTCTATTCTATTCTATTCCATTCCATTCCATTCCATTCTATACTAATTCTAATTCTATTCTATTCTATTCTATTCTATTCTATTCTATTCTACTCTACTCTACTCTACTCTACTCATTCTAATTTTCTCCTATTCTATTCTATTCTATTCTATTCTATTCTATTCTATTCTATTCTATTCTACTCTACTGTACTCTACTCTACTCATTCTAATTTTCTCCTATTCTATTCTATTCTATTCTACTCTACTCTACTCTACTCTACTCTACTCTACTCATTCTAATTTTCTTCTATTCTTTCTATTCTATTCTATTCTATTCTATTCTATTCTATTCTATTCCCATTCCATTCCATTCCATTCTATACTAATTCTATTCTATTCTATTCTATTCTATTCTTTCTATTCTATTCTACTCTACTCTACTCTACTCTACTCATTCTAATTTCTCCTATTCTATTCTATTCTATTCTATTCTTTCTACTCTACTCTACCTACTCTACTCATTCTAATTTTCTCCTATTCTATTCTATTCTATTCTATTCTATTCTATTCTATTCTATTCCATTCCATTCCATTCCATTCTATACTATTCTCTGTTCTGTTCTGTTCTGTTCTGTTCTGTTCTGTTCTGTTCTGTTCTATTCTATCCTATCCTATCCTATCCTATCCTAATTCTTATTCTATTCTATTCTATTCTATTCTTATTCTTATTCTAATTCTAATTCTAATTCTAATTCTAATTCTATTCTTATTCTACTCTACTCTACTCTACTCTTATTCTATTCTATTCTATTCTACTCCATTCTAATTGTCTCCTATTCTGTTCTTCTGTTCTATTCTATTTATTCTATTTTCTAATTCTAACTCTACTCTATTCCTCATTCCAATATCCTCTCCTCTCCCCTCCTTTCCTCACCCATCTCTTCTCATCCTCTCCCCTCGGCATGTGAGAATCCCTTCCTGTCCCTGAATATGAATGGAGTTTGGCTCTAGCACTCCACAAATGTGTCAGAAAGACCTTTTCAACTCTGAAAATCCCAGCCTCCAACTTTGGTGCTCCTTCCCTCCTCACTTAGCCTCAACTTTCATTTTTTAGGAAGCGCAGAAGCTTCTCTAGAGCCACACACCCTGATGGGGCCTGCGAGTCCCCTTTAAATCCATGTGACTTGGGAGGGGGGCGACCTCGTCTGGGCCTTCCTGGGACACACCTCAGTACAAGAGAAAAAAAATTGCATTCCTGCTGATTCAAGATGATTCTTACCTGATAGAGACAGTGGATTTGTTTGTTTTTTTGTGTGTCGAAAGTTGTTCTGAAAACAACAGAGACTCCTGTTCATGTGCCACACTTTTGCACCTGGGAAAGTTGTGTAACAACACCACCACTCCCCAGGAACACTCACGTTTCTCTATTTCCATCCACAGGACTGCCTCCGTTTGCAATATTACCTCTCGAGAACCCTTGGGGAGGTGAGGGACAGAGAAAGTTTGCTAAGCCAGGATGATGATTAAGCTCTTTAAAAGATGTGGTTGCAGTTTGGAAGGAAAGAAATCAGCAAAAAGAAAAAAGAAAAAAACCACCAAATTACGGCAGCACTAAAACAATGTTAAGAGCAGAGACCGGTTTAGGGAGATTATTTTAATCTCACACGGGAGATGATATAAACAATTTAAGTCTGAAGGTCGGCTTCCCATTGGCCACTGCTGCTGTAGGCCACATTTATGGGGGATTAGCTTCTGTCTGAACCTGTTGGAAAAACTACTGGAACTGAACAGCGGGAGCAACAATTTCACTACTTTTGGTCACTTTTAGGGGTGAATTCTCACGCCAAACTCTCACTCCTCGGAACTAGAGGGCAAATCCTTCCAGCCCACACCAAAAACAGTGTCAAAATCACCAAATGGTAGAACAATATAATCCCACCCAAGGCAGGAGAACTCTTAGACTATTACTGGCTGGGAACATTTAAGTGCAGGTAAAGTTGTAGTTTGCTACCTGTTCACATAAAACACACCAAAAGGTAATTTAACAACCCTTTGACTGGAATAGTCTCCTGCCTTGAGCAGGGGGTTGGACTGGAGGATCTCGGAGATTCCTTCCAGCCCTAGTATTCTACAACAAAGTGCAACCTTTTTGTTTCATCGCTCTACTATATGGCTTCTTCCAAGACATTGGAAGCTGAGTTGGTCATACCTGGCTCAAGCGTTCCTTTTCTCTGCGTAAACCCAGCCTTCTTCCCCACTCCACAACCGGCAGCAAGCACCCTCACAATCCGAGGCAACGACTGCAGGGAAAGTCTCCATCTAAGGGCCTCCCAATAAATGGGCTGACTTCCTCCCATGAAGGAAGCTACAGCTGCGGTTTTCTCTTCCGTATCCTTTGGAGATGATCCTGAAAGGAAAGAGAGCCTCCTGAACCTGAAGGCTGCCGTGTGGAGCTGTGTCGCAACTGAACATCAGCCCTTCGGTGTCTTCTGCGCTGCATCGACCATCCCCAATCTGGGTTTTCTTGGCCCCTTCGTTTTGTGGAATTAGTTTGCTATCAACTTTTCCCACCAAGTTTCCCCCCCGCCCCCCAGTAATTTAGTCAAACCAACAGACCTGAAATTGTGCGGTTGTCTAATCCAATAATTAACAAGGTTAATTATTGCATTAGGTCTCAAAGGTCTGAACCCAAATAAGATCACCTGGAGCCTGGAATTTGCAGAAGCATTCTTGTCGGTATTTTATCCTAAACAGTTTTAGAATTCGTGTGTGAATAGTTACTGTTAACGTGCTTTGCGTCACACTTTTTTCCCCATAAAATCAAGGTAATTTAGGTCTCCCAAAGGTGATTTTTCAAGAGGCGACTGGGCTTTCTGGTTTTCCTTGAACCGAAGAAGCTCCTTGGATGAGAAGCGAAACGTCCTCAAGGAAAAACCAAGAAAGTCCAGTTGCCTCTTGAAAAAGCTCCTTTGGGACAGCCGTGACCTGGATGACTGAGAAGCTCCATAGATGACAATTGAGGTAGCTATTGATTGGTTCTATGCCTTCAAATCATTTCCAGAACAGAATAACAGATTTGGAAGGGTCCTTGTAAGTCAGGGGTATCAAACTCTACCAAGAGCCTTGGTAGTACAGTGGTCTAAGGCACCCTGTTATTAAGCTGGTTATTAAGACCAGCTGCCTGCAATTACTGCAGGTTCGAATCTCGCCAAGGCTCAAGGTCCAGTCAGCCTTCCATCCTTTCTAAGGTAGGTAAATTGAGGACCCAGTTTGTGGGGGCAATAAACTGACTTTGTATAAATATACAAAAGGATGAAGGCTATTGCTTAACGCATTGTAAGCCGCCCTGAGTCTCCGGAGAAGGGCGGCATTATAAATCAAATTAAAAAAAAAAAAAAAACTCAAGGCCTGTGGCTCGAATACAGCCTGCAACATAGTTGGAATCCGGCCTGCAGGGCTGTCCTGGTCTACCCAGTGCAAAGAGGAAACATGCCAGCAGTTTGGGGAGTGATGTGAAGTTGGCCACACCCACCCAGTTGGCCACACCCAGCCAGTCAGCCACGCCCCTCCGAGGTCAACCACAGTCCTGATGTGGCCCTCAATGAAATTGAGTTTGACACCCCTGTTGTAGGCCATTTTTTAAAAAGTTTTTTATTTTTAAACAAACAATTCATCATTAATCCATCAGGGTAACATCTGGGTAAAAAAATATTTTTGTGTCAACATGTTCAACATTTATCATCATTTTCTTAATGCATATTTATCTTTCCTCTTATATTTAAATTTAATGTATTACAACATATTTTCCCCATATTTCTTATTTTTACATTGCCTATTGTCTATATTCGGTCTCTATCCATTGATAAAATTGTCTCCATATGTTGTAATACTCCGATTCTTCCTTCCCTTTAATTGCTAATGTTAATCTACTCATTTCTGCACATTCTACTATTTTCTTAATTGCCTCTGTTGCAGGCCATCTAGTTCCAGCTCCTAGCAACCACATAGATCTATCTACCCATCCATGGTGACCTACCTCTAATCTGTCCTTTCAAGTCTCCCAAAAGTTCACCCACGGCCACTGTGACTGAGTCCAGCCAGAGAGTTGAAATCCACGCATCCTAAAAGTTGTTGAATTTGAGAAATACTGTTCCAAGGAAGTAGGTGCATTAGGGCAGCGGTCACCAACTGGTGGTCCGTGAGAAAATTTTGGTGGTCCGCAGAAAAATTATTTGCATTTTTTATACTGCACTAAATCAGGGGTCCTCAAACTACGGCCCCTCGGCCGGATATGTACAATGAGCGTTTGTGTTAATGCAGAGAGTCTCCCCCTTCGGGGTCTTTTTGTGTGGGTTGGAGGGGGGCAAAATTCCCACTCGGGGTCTGCTTCAGCCTCCTGGTGTGGGGCTTTGGGTGAAGGCTGGAGGGAAGAGCCGCTGGTGGCGAAGAGCCGGAGGGCCTCGTTCCAGTGGGGGCTGCATCATGGCCTGGAACTGGCTCACCATCTCAGCCCTCTGAGCCTCCAGGCGCCGATACCTGACCTTGCACTCCTGCAGGTCTTCCCTCTGCTTGGAAAGCCTATGCTCCTAGTCCTCAGTGAGGTGCTTCTGCTGAGCCTCCTTCTCGGTCAGATCCAAATTGAACTGAGCTGTTTTGCCAACTCTTTCTCACAGTGGCTGCTTAGCTCCAACAACTGCTTCCTGTTGGGGCCCTCAGGAGCCCGGGCAGGCAGGTGAGGAGTGGCTGGGAGGGGAGGGGTGAGTAGAGGCCAGTGAGGCGCCCCTCGACACGAGTGACATCGAGTTGGCCACACCCACCCAGTCACATGCCCACCTAGCCACGCCCACCCAGCTGGTCAATAGGCGGATCATATTAATGGTCCGCGGGATTTAAAATTATGAATTTAGTGGTCCCTGAGGTCTGAAAGGTTGGTGACTCCTGCATTAGAGTATGATGAATGCATTTTTTACGGGGAATATGGATTTTATTGCCAAGTGGGATCTTTGGCACGTAAGTTTCTGGCAGGCCGTTTCATGTTTTTCTAAAACGTGAAAGAGTTCAGCAATATGCCATTGACACATCCTTTCCCAATGAAATAAATCAACCAGTCTGACATCTGAACACAGATTGCTACTATTCCTTCCTCAATTTCTATAAGTCCTCGACTTACAACCAAGACTGAACCCAACATTTCTGCTGCTAAGCAAAACATTTCCTAAGTGAGTTTTGCCTCATTTTACGACCGTTCTTGCCATGGTTGTTAAGTGAATCACTGTGGTTGTTAAGTGAATCTGGATTCCCCGTGGACTTTGTTCATCGGAAGGTCACATGACTCCGGGACCCTGCAACCGTCATAAGTCCATGACAGTTGCCAAGCATCTGAGTTTTGATCACGTGACTGTGGGATTGCTGCAACGGTCGTTAAGTGTGAAAAACAGGCATAAATCAGTGGTGTTGTAACTTCAAACGGTCACTAAATGAACTGTTTTAAACCCAGTACTTCCTGTATGCAGGCTGTAATCCAGTGTTTCTCAACAAAATAAAAAAGTCCTCAGTTTGACTTATGGAAAGATATCCTTCCTCTGTTTGCTCATCGGAATATTTTTAAATCACAGTAAATGACACGATAATTCTCGTTTTGCCTCTCGTCTCTCTCCATGAGAACAATATTTCATAACATCTCAATTCTCACCTAGCATCCTTGTTTGCATACCTTCCGGACAAAATATTGTATTTTTAAGTTTTAGTCATTTAAGCATTGGTAATTTATTCACAAGGTGAGTGATTCATAGAGTGGGATTTCCTTTCTTGGTTACATTATAAATGTGGTAAGGAGTTTCTCCTAGAGTTTGTTTGCTAACGTTTGTTTGCTAACAAATACTTATTTGCATGCTTAAGATATGCTAATATGTGTTGATGAAGCTTGCATAAATTGATCCGCTTGGAAAAACAAGGGTAGAATGCAAGAATCTCTCAGCAAATCTGGCTAGGAGGTTTAAAAAAGTCAAGATGGCAACTAAAATTATGAGATGGAATTCTTCCCCTGTTTTTACACGCACCGCACAAATGACACACATCAAAAAGTGGGAGCGTGTGGATGCAAACTCATTTTGCTTTTCCACCTTTAGATGCTGGACAGTGAGTCAAAATCCAAAGCTCACCTTTGAACCTGATGCCAAAAATATGATCTGGGGTTTCGTGACATATTTGAAAACATTGCTGTAAGAAGAAGTTCCTTTTTATTTATTTTTTTAAAAATGATCTTCGTGTACGTGGTACGAGTAATTATCTCTTAAAATTTAAAACAGGAAAAGAGCAAAGCAGACCAGCGTATTTTCCGAGTTGGCGTGTTTGTTTGTAGTTTTTACAGTCGCACTCAAAACAACCCAAGAATTGCACACTTTGTTCTGTATTAAATACAATGAAAAATCTGTCGGTCTAATTAGTTAAAAGGTAGCGGTTTAATTATTCACAGATGTTGAGTAATACTCCCTCAGCTATTTTAGAATATAATATTCCTATCTGGAAATTTTCCCACACGTCTGCTACAGCTGCTGCACCTATTTACACATGCACATAAATTTTATATTTACCAGGCCTGACTGTTACTCAGATAAGGATGAAGGGAAATTTGAGCAAACTGGATCCTTTTTAGAAGCTCTCACAGTCGGTCAAATTTAAGCTCATTGTAGCCTTATGTTCCTAAAATAGATGCATTTTTCCCTATTAAGAACTTTATTATTTTTTAGATGCACAGTTCCAAAAGCTTGGTAATATCTCTGTAGAATCAACCACTGCCAGGAACTCTCTAACTTACACTTTTTGTGCCTTTTAGGCTGATTTAGATCAAACAAGTCTTAAACCCTTTGGAGAGGAAGAGGCAGCATAATGGGAACACCTAAATATCCACGGCAGTGATGAAATAAATGAAATTCTTCCTCTTCTTCCTCTTCTTCCTCCTCCTCTTCTTCTTCTTCTTCTTCTTCTTCCTCTTCCTCTTCTTCTTCTCCTCCTCCTCCTCCTCCTCCTTCTCCTTCTCCTTCTCCTCTTCCTTCTTCTCCTCCTTTTCTTCTTCTTCTTCCTCCTCCTCTTCCTCCTCCTCCTCTTCCTTCTTCTCCTTTTCTTCTTCTTCTTCTTCTTCTTCTTCTTCTTCTTCTTCTTCTTCTTCTTCTTCTTCTTCTTCTTCTTCTTCTTCTTCCTCCTCCTCCTCCTCCTCTCCTCCTTCTCCTCTTCCTTCTTCTTCTCCTTTTCTTCTTCTTCCTCCTCCTCCTCCTCTCCTCCTCCTCCTCTTCCTTCTTCTTCTCCTTTTCTTCTTCCTCCTCCTCCTCCTCCTCCTTCTCTGCCAGCTCAGAGCCGTGGAACAAATTGCAGTACTTTCCCATCTCTTGAGGCCTATGGTGGGAAGGGGGCAGTTGAGATCAGCTCGGGCACTCAACCCTCTTATCTGCCAGGCTTCCTTGAGTGAAATTTACCCAGCGCTCTTATAAACGATCACACGCATCTCCCCAGCATTTATCCAAATCTGTCTGTACAGACACTTCCACAGCAAAATGGAAAATGTATGCCTTTGAAGGGAGAGTCGGAAAGATTACTCTTTGTACATACCTCATAAAGTCAATAAATAGTCTTTAATAATTACAACATTACTGTTTTTCAGATTAGAAACCATTCTCTGGCTCTGCCAGAACGTATTATTAATAGGTGTGTTTTCAGAGAGCCTAGTACAATTAAGAATACTTAAATAGCACCAAGTAACACAGAGGCTCTCAGCGAACTCATGAAAAATTTAAAAATAACTGGTCTCCAGGGCTAAATGCAAAAATGCCAAACTATTGGGGCAAAAGGCATTTCACTGATCATTAAAACCTCCCTCTCCTCCTTGAGAAATGAGGGATTTAAAAAAAAAACCAGCCTCCTCGTTAGAAAAATGATCAAGAAATTCTTTTTCTGTCCGTATGTATCTACATAAACAGAAGTAATTTTATTGGTGCAACAGGAATAATCCTATTGCTTCTAAAAGAAAACAAATTAATATTCTATGGGGGGTGGGGAGGAAAAAATTAAAAAGTGCATTTTGAGCTGCTATTTGAGATTCAGGCTCCAGTCGTCTCCTTGCATTTTTTCTCTGAATGTTAATTCAAAATTCAAAACTCAAATCCGGGGCTTAAAATCCTGATTTCATTAGAAACCCAACCGATCCTTTGTGAATAGACGGCGGTCTCTATCAGGATTTATTCAGTGAAAACTGAGCGGGGAAGAGAGAGAGGGGGGGGGGGGGGGAAAGAGAGAGAGAGACACTCTTTAAAATTACCTTAAGGTCACTTCATGGGCAAAACGATGCATTTAAAGTAAGGCGGTGACAACGTGTTTAATATTTCTCCACGGAAATGGCTGGCTTGATTACAATACATTAAAATCCTCATTGAATATTCATAGGCTTTTGACAAGGCCGGGTGACATATATGGTTAGCCTTAGAAGGCAATAAAGGCCCTTCTCCTGACTCGGTTGGCTTAGGGGGAGCCAGAAGTTCCCGGAGAGTCTTTGTGTGTCCCCACAAACACAACTGCAGCCGCACAAATGCTCTCCTAGGCCTTGACTTATGACTTCGATTGGAGTCCAAAATCTCTGTCGCTAAAGGAGACGTGTTAAAGTGGGAGTTTTGCCCTGTTTTACAAAGCTTTCTTACCACCGTTGTTAAGTGAGTCACTGTCGTTGTTCAGTTAGCAACGTGGTTGTTGAAGGAATCCCTGATGTCTTGGCTGGTGAGAAGGTCGCAAAAGGAGATCGTGTGACCCAGTGGTGGGTTTCCAATTTTTTTTACTACCAGTTCTGTGGGCGTGGCTTGGTGGGCGTGGCATGGCATGGCGTGGCTTGGCGACTGCTGTGATTCAGTTAACAAATGTGGGGAGAAAAGTCGTAAAATGGGGCAAAACCCACTTAACAAGTGTCTCACTTAGCAACATAAATG